CTGCGTTCCCCGTGCCCACGCGGTAGACAATTTTCCTTATATGAATTCAAATGCAAAAGGTACGTCTGGTTTTCGAGTACAACACGTACACGATCTATTCAAGGTACGTGTTGTATTCAAGAAAAGTGGACCCACGCCGTTTCGATTTCGAAATGTTAAACTCAAGGACTGCGGCCTCCTCAGCCTCCTATGTGCAGCTACCGGTCCTCTGCAAGCAAAAGCAACAACTGCCCGTTCTCCATGAATTGCCCCCCCAGCAAATTCACCCCACTTCCAATTACCCTTTGGACTTGAATGGACGACCGGAAGAACAAAGGACGACTAAATTGATCCAGAGGTATAAACGCACCCTTGACGGGCTGTGAATAAAACAACATTTGTGGCAGGACCCAGGGCCAAATCCCACTAGCATTGCTCCTGTTCTGGTAATGGGGACCTCCCTGTTGTGTGACACTCCTTGCCACTGCCTATTTCCATGGATCGTACCGCAAGGCCATTCGTTCTCTTCATTTTCACGTTGGCTTATTGAGGCAGGGGGTGAACTGGGTGCTTCCCAATAGGCTGCACATGTTCACCTTCGTTTATCTGAGGTGGTCTGTGAGTCCTCTCTGGGGCGGTGCACATCACCCTAGAGAGGGGGACCGCCAGTCCTGTTTCATATATGGCGGTGATGAACCAAAAACAAAAAGGAAGAGGGCAAAAGAAAGGAAGAAAAAGTAAGTACATACCTTCCACGTGTCGAGGCTAGAGTTACGGCAGCAAAACTCTGCATCACTAGATGGCCACGGTCTGTTCGAGAAAGGAAAGCCTTCACCATTGGGCCTCGGTGCACTGCTCTCCTAAGGTGAACTTCCACAACGAACTTTCAGCAAGAACATAGAAAGATACACTTCCATATGTTTTGTCTTTTGTGAATGTCGAGCGCAGTGCAGCTGGGCCCTTTTTTTTTTTTTTTTTTTGGATGAAATTATATTTCATTGCCAAAAGGACAACAGGGGCCCGGGAAAACACCCCTACAATTCAACCCGGTACTGTAACATGCTCAGGCCTTTACCCAGCTATAGGCTCCTGGAAACCGGGTCCAGTGTCCCTTTTCCAAAGTATCCTCCAAAACAATCAAAAAATTATAAGGGGCCTCCAAGGTAGTACCACATAAGATTTTATCAAACACCGCACTAAACACCTCTTTTTCCTTTTAGGGGCTCACCACACCACTATCGAATCGCCTTTTTTTTCGATAGGTGTCAGAAAAATTCCATAGTCCGGACTTGGATAGAAACCCCCCTTTTGCCACACAGCACTGTCGAATCGGTGGGGTATCGAATGTTTTCCGTTCCGGGGCCGCTTTCGACTGTCTGTCGTTTGTGTGCGGGTCCTGTCATCTAGCGTGTGTGTGGGCGGTTTTTCGATAGTCCGGAGTGTGGGCTATCGAATTGCAGGCGGACGTGCACATTTCGTTCGATAGGGGTATCGAATTCCCATTTCTGACACCTATCAAAAATTTTCGAAGCTGCATTTTTTGATAGGCTGTGTGGCGATGCTAAACTATCGAAAATTCGTGTTTCGATAGTTCGAGCAATTAGCAGTCCAGCTGAAGGGCCTACCGTTTGGCCTCTGTCCCTTCAAAAGCCAACCCCGCTTTCTCATCTGATTATTAAAACCTGCAAGGCTCCTTGCTCTCCCTGACCATCTCTGCTCAAGGAGGCTTCAACCATGATGCAAAAGCCAACTTACGGTTCGGTGATACTTTAGCCCACTGGCTTCCTTGTGCCCAAAGTCTTTCTTCCTGCTTTTTGAACAGCACAGCCAATCAGCTTGTATTGATAATCGAATGTTCCTCTTTATTTGCTGTTGCTGCTCCTGTATGACGATCCTTGCGCATTCCTTGCTCTCCAGATTTCCTGGAGAATTATCCCTCTGCAGGTAAGCGCTACGTAACCCCATCCCTTGTTATACTCGGCATCCTGCGTTGGAAATATACCATACAGACTCCAATCATCTGTCCATTATTAATTCATACCCCATACTCGACGACGACGGGGGCAGCTTCCTCTGCAATTTGTTTTTTTTTTTCAAGGTACTCCATCATGTGGAAGAACTGTATTTTTTTTTTTTTTTTTTTTTCTCTTTCTCCACATCAGCCGGTTTAGCTTAAACAGAGTCATCCTGTATCAACATTCAACCCGGAAGAACTGTAAGCGCTACACGGCTGGAATATTCTTTTGGCCCACGAAGAAAATTAAGGCCGCACAACGCCGCCGGCCGTCGCAATGTGCCGCGTAGTTCTGAAGCCAGGAACAGGACTTGGCCCCCGGGCCCTGGGCTCCCCTTTAGATACTCCTGGGCCATTAAGGATTCATGGTGCTCTCGCCCCACCTCCCCTTGGCTACTACTCTTGGGCCGTTATCTAAAGCTGCCACCGTGCTGCTGGCCTCGTGCCCCGCCCCCGCGTTCTGTGCTTCACATCCGGCACACACTTACGGTCTGCGCCCCCGCGCCCTCGCGGTAATTTATCGGTCGCTGTTGTGTGTGGTTGGGGAACGTAGTTCCGTCCGGCGGGTAAGTGCGGCCCCCCAGCTGCAGGTAAACCCGGCCGGCCGAACCTGGCCGAAAACTGGCCCCAATACTTAACGGGACCTCGAAACCTGAGGCTGCCGGGTGGTTTCTACCGAAATTAAATTCGGGTTTGTGCTGGTGGTTTCTACCGAAATTCGTAATGGAAACAGCCGTTCTCCTTTCAACCGTGCGACTGTTTGTCTCCAGCCACACACCGGTTGTTCCCCGCGTGTGTGGGTCGTTTTTCTCTCTCTGGTGTGTGTGCTTGGCCGGCTGGTTGCGTTGTTGGCAGAGAGGGCGTATCTACGTACAATCCGCGTAGGCGTCGTACGTCGCTCGTGCCGCGGGTTTCGATTTCGATTTTGACGCGCGCTCCTGCCCTTTGTCCTGGCTCGCGAGGCACAGCGAGGGCGGTCCTGTCGCTCGCATTCTTTCGCTTCAATGAATGGGTTGCCGCGTTTGCTAATGAACTGAATTTATGAAGTTACTGAATTATTAATTCAGTTAATTGAGTGGCCCGGGGCAAGGTCCCGCTTGCGCAAATTAGGAGATTTCGGCCGTTGATCTTTGCTTTCTACGGTCAGTATCTCTTAATTCGTGCAAGTGGGACCTACGTAGCCCCGGTACCGTCGCTCTTCTGCTTCAATGAATGAGTTGCCGCGTTTGCTAATGAACTGAATTTATGAATTAATTTATGAATTATTAATTCAGTTTAATTGAGTGGCCCGGTATCGTTGCTCCCGCCTTCCGGAGCACTTCTGCATCACACAGACGAGCGAGAGGGGGGGCCAGGGTGGCATGGGCACTCCTGCATCACACAGAGCGAGTTACGTTGGTCGACCATACTGATGCGTTGGCCGACGAGCGGCACGTGATCAGATTGGCTCACGTGATCGGATTGGCTTAGGAATTTGCGGGTAACGCGGCCCTTGCGGGGCGGGCGAGTTTTCACTCTCACACGCAAAGAGTGTTGTTGCTCGTTCCAGTCCGTACCCACATTATTTCTTAGAGTATGGTAACGACGGCGGCCGTGTGTTGTCGCGCAGGTCTTTCGGGGTTTTGTGCGGAGGGCGGGTCTCGTCTGCCAACAAGTCTAATCGAACCATCACCGCCATTTCTCTTCTTTCTTTTCTTTCATTCGTTTTGATTGTAGGTCCGTTATCCGTCTCTGTTTCCGTGTGCGTGTCCGTGTTTGTGTTTGTGTTTGTGTGTGTGTTTGTGTTTCCCTGCTTGGCACTGTATATAGCGCATTTGTAGCAGCTTGTGTTTCATGTCGTAGGTGGTTGCTTGTTCGTGTTCGACTGTGTGTGTGGCGCGGTAGTGCAAGTAGTTCATTCACGGCAAAGGAAACAGTTCTCGCAAATCTTTTTGATTGTGGGAGTGGGTAGGCTCGTCCGGTGGAAGAAGAGAAGGAAGGGCGAAGCGAGGGGCGAAGGGCGAAGGAAGGAGAGAGACAGAGGAGGCGGGGGGTGGTGGGAAAGGCGCGGACCGGAGTAGGGAGTAGTGACGGCGGTGGCGCGCGAGGCAGGGAGGGAATCCATCCGTCGTACTGATCCCTGGAGACAGCTGAGGGGTGATCTCACAAGCGGGCGGGAAGTGTAGGCAGTAAAGGCGAGGGTCGATAGATACTAAGAAGAGGAGGGAAGGAGGAGGGAGGAAGAAAAGGAGAAGATTGAGGAGGAAGGAACGAGAGAGGAGAGAAAGTCTGCTGTTCCCGGACAGCGAGTAGATCTCGTGACTGTGTATGACGAAAAGAGGCAAGGAGGGGGAGAGGGGGAAGGATAATAACAGAGCGCAGGGAAGAAGGATTAGAATGGTTTTGGTTTTGGTGGCAGAGAATAACAATCGGTACGCGAGTATGCAGGTACCGGATTGCTCTCGGCTCTCAAGGAGGGAGGGAGGGAAGAAGCAGTCGAGGGCTCGGCATCCTTGCTGTTGTCTCTGTTGTTGATTTTGAGTACTTGCTTGCTTGAGCACAGTGCGTCTGTCTGTCTCTGTCTGTCTCTGTCTGTCTCTGTCTGTCTCTGTCTCTCTCTGTCTGTCTGTCTGTCTGTCTGTCTACACGGTGCTACATTCATCGTCATCGAGCGCGCGCGAGAGCACTTTCCTTTTGGAGTACAATTAGGGGAGGCTCTTGTTGTCCGGAATAGGAGTGATGAGCCAGCACCAGATGGCAACTCCTCGGACGACCCGGTAGAGGTTGAAAGGAGGGGGAATAACTGGTGTAAGGAGGCATAGAATCTCTGAGGAGAAGAACACAAACGCGACTCGCACCAACTTTTGCAAAACCTCCGAAAAGTACCCCACTCAGCGGGTGGTCTGTCGTACACGCCGTGTGTGTGTGTGTGTGTGTGTGTGTGTGTGTGAGAGAGAGAGAGAGAGAGAGAGAGAGAGAGAGAGAGAGAGAGAGAGAGAGAGAGAGAGAGGTGAGGAGGATGATCAAATTGTGACACAGCTGTCATACAGTCAGATGTTTACTGCTGTTGGCAGAAAACGCGAGAGATACTCGCAGTCTGTGTATGATTGGATGGCAATTAATCGTTGACATCCAGTCGTTGGTAGTCTTCTGAAAACTCGCCACTCTCCGAAGCGTCGTGTGTTTTAGAGAAAGGCACAGAAAGGAAGAAGGATTAAGACGCGGAGAAGGATACGACGGTCTCGACAGACCGCGCCGCTTCGTTATTAGACTTCATATTTTCATCCATCCATCCATCCATCCATCCATTCATCCATCCAGCCAGCAATTGATTAACCCGCTAGTGAAGCAGGGAGCACGTTGTGAAGCAGGACCGGAGAATCAATCCATGGGGGGTTAACTCACGTTGAGACAGACAGGCGACATGCTGACCTGTGCTGCTATGAATCTTGAGTGAGATCATGGTCGAGTGGGCTCGGTTCCAATTACAGTCGTTATTGTAGTCGATTTTTCAATCGTCGCCGCTCCGTTTTAATTACAGTCGTTATTGTTATTGATTGACCAATTGTTCCTCCCTGCCTTCTCTTTCTGTCTTCGTCTGTCTTGCTGCTTACTGTTGAGCGATTATTAGGTTGTTAAGCCTTGTGAATCATTTTTATATTGCTAGAGAAACGGGGTGTGAGAAAGGCGGCGGCCTGAGTCGGAGCGCGGGAGCGCGGGAAGACGAAGGAAGGAGTAGAGGTAGAGACAGAGATGGCGGAGAACGAAAGACGGGGATCGCGGGAGCCAGCGACGGAGGAGCAGGTCCCGCTTGTTAGTGATCGCGCGGGCGTCGGCGGCGCATCGACTTGTGGGCAAGATACCTGCTTGGATGCGCAGCTCTCGTCACGGGGGAAAACTTTCTTCAATATATTCATCTCGTTGATGGGTGCTGGTATTCTGGGTCTGCCGCATGCGTTCAAACAGAGTGGCTGGATTGCGGGGATCGTCGCCATCATAGTCGTTGCCGGATTATGTTACTATTGTATGATTCTACTGGTGAGTTTCTCCCTCCTCCCTCCCTCCTTCCCTCCCTCTCTCCTCCTCCTCCTCCTCCTCCTCCTCCTCTTCCTCTCCCTTTCTACCTCCTGCCTCCCTCCCCCGGTGCCATCCTCCCTCTTCCCTCCTCCCTCCCTCCCTCCCTCCCTCTCTCCCTCCCCTTCCCGCGTTGATACCGGTGCCGTCCACGCCCCTTCCGGTTCCTCTTTTTCTCTTCGGGCTTCGCGACACTACACACCACATGCACGAAAGATAAAAAAAACTATGGCGGTGTACCTTTCCGTGTTCTACCGGAAGATTCACTCACCACCTGCACCAAAGACGAAATTTGTGGCGGTGTATATTTCCATGTTCTAGCGGAAGATTCGTTTTCTTTTTGTGCAATCGTTGAGTGTTGGAGTGAGTCCTTTCGTCTTTGACTGAAGCCCCCGCTTCGTGAGAGTCGCGTGTCAGCAGCGTCCATGTCAGCATCACCAAGTAGCCGGCCCGGTTTCATCGTGATGCGCGCGGGAGCGTTCTGATTTGTGCACGAGAAGCGGGGCAGGGGGGGAGGCGGAGGGGAGCGCGGGGGGCGGGGGAGGAGGGGGGAGGGAATCTCCCCATTGGGCGGCACCATCCTAGGATGGGAAGGTCAGAACTATCCCTGCGAGAATGCATCTGGACATGTTCACGTCCAGGTTCCGCTCCTTTGCTTGGCTATTTGCGCGACGAGGTGCGCATCCTGACAGCCGTAGTCTGATATTTCCCGACTTCGGCGGCCTTTTCATGTCACACTTTTCAACTCTATCATGCCGCCCTTGTGAAATCAACTCCAGGAAATGTGAAGTAGTTTTTTTTTTTTTTTTTTTTTTCCTTTCTAAATGGGAGGAAAAAGTGGACCTCCTTTTTTAACTCTCGAAATCATTATTACAGTACGTGGAAAGAAGTCTTCCACGTGGAAAGAAGTCTTCCACGCGTTTTCCACGTGGAAAGAAGTCTTCTACGCGGAAAGAAGTCTTCTACGTGGAAATAAGTTTTCTTCAGCGCTTCCTGCGTCGCGCTAGGTAGGTTGGATTCGAACCTGCGACCTTTTGTTCTATACCCAAAACGATCTCTACCAACCGGAGAAGCCACGTGTCGCAAGCTTGAATTTGACTAAAATATTGGTGTTTGTTCATCGTGCTCTGCATATCAGCGAATGGACCACATCCGGAGAGGCCACGTGTCGCATGCTGGGCTTATTACTTGCCGGCTGTCTTTTCTTTTGACTTGATTTTTTTTTTCTTTTTGATTAAAGTGAAAGGGCGACGGCCTTGAGATATCACCATTGATTGACATGACCTGCCCCACTCAATTCAAAATGATTTTAGTCTGTTCATCTGATAGATAGCAACTTTCCAGCCATCAAAGAAACAAACGAGTTGAAATAACAATTATGAAATTCAGAATGATTCTAATTGTTGTCACTCTGTTTGCTAATGAAAAAGTCAAGAAAGTTGTGCGTGCGTTTTTCTTACGTAAATTGCATTGCCCCCAACTTGGGGGCAGGCAGCGATCACCAATCTCTCTTAAAATACAGTCTCGTTATATATCATCACATAAATATGAGAGCGCAAAAGCGAAAAAAAGGAAAAAAATGAATTAAAATACAGTCTCGTTCTATATCGTCACATAAATATGAGAGCGCAAAAGCGAAAAAAAGCTCTCATGTTTATGTGATGATATATAACGAGACTGTATTTTCATCAGTTTCATGGGTGTACCAAACTGATGAGCTAGGCCCGTTGGTATTGATTTTGTTGTTTTTACTAGGTAGTTTTTATTTTATGTTATTGTTTTGGTAGTCTTCCTCTTATTACAGAGAAATACTTCCGTCTTCCCCCGAACATAACACACCCTAAAAATGAATGTATACAAGCTATATTTCCGGCCAGATACAGCCAAAATGAGGGTGCGTTGTGTTCGGGGGAAGACGGTAGTAAATCCTTCGTCCTCGTTGCTGCTTCACGCCCCGCTTATTTTATTGTTTTGGTAGTCTTCCTCTTATGACAGAGAACCGTGGGTTTGAAAATAAAAATAAGAATGGAAGAACAATTAAAAGCTTGGATTTTTAGTTTTTTTCCCTCTCTCTCTCTCTTTTTTTTTTCTCGGTAAGTGGGCACAGCTTATAAAAATTATAGTGTTCATCAGATTGCACCCGGATTTCTTTTTTTTTTCTTTTTTCTGTTCTCGTTTCTTTTTTTTTTTTCTTAAATCAGGATTTCACTTGCAGTTGAGGTATCAAACATGGCATCGAGCTTTTGAGTGCAACAAGTGATCGATGGCCCTTTTTTCACTTTTCTCTTTTCCTTGAAGATGGGATAGGAAGGAGAGGTAATTCCAAATTTGTGACGCCGTTAGTCCTATTTGTAAATGCATTGGGTCAGCTGAATTGTACCTAGTGTAACTGAATTTGTAAATAGCTCTCACGAGTTCGAATCCCGATGCAGATAACATAACATAACGCTACGAGTGGCTGAACGCCTCATGAGAAAAATCAGGAATGTTAAGAAGCGGAGGGGCCCTCTTGAGAAAGAAAATGTTTAGCAATTTGTAGTAGCGTCATCACGTCGGAAAGGGAGGGAGGAAAACAGTTCGCAGGTTGCCGTCGGTTTTGAACATGCCGTCGATTATGGGATGGATCGCACTTAAAGGAAGAGGAGAACGGACTAATGGGATTATTTCGTTTCGTATCACACTTAAAAGGAAGAGGAGAACGGACTAATGGGATTATTTCGTATTCGTATCACACTGAAAAGGAAGAGGAGAACGGACTAATGGGATTATTTCGTAT